ATGCTGGCAAGATAAAGAACAAGTAACAGTATATGTAATTCTAAGAACCATAATCTGCTGTACTTACTTGTAAGTCTTCAGATTTTCTTTGGAATTTGAAAGTTTAAGTCATCCTCAAGGTCTTTAGCCAGAAAGTAAGACCCATCAAAGAGGCAGAAATCAGCAAGATGGCAACAAAATGTCACATTGTGGTGGGAAACCAGACTGTCCAATTAAGCATTTTTTTAAGGCAAATTTCACCCTTGCCACTTACCAACTATGAGACCTTGAGCAAGAAGGCTGTTTTATTTCTCTAAGCCTCAATTACCTTACTTATAAACTGTGGCATTCTGAATGTGTGATATGGGGATTAGATAGCACTTCTTAACAGTTATTTCGAGGACAAATTGAGGTAATATATTCAAAGGGCCCGATACACAGAATACACCACAGCTAATTTACCATTACTGCTATCAATAGAAGTGTTATGTTTCTAGAGTCCTCATTTACTTCTCTTGCAATTAAATCAAGGACTCTCTCTCTCTTTTTTTTTTTTTTTTTTTGGTACCAGGGAATCGAACAAGGACTCTAACTCTTTGAAAGGTGGAAGAAATAGTTCCATACTGTCTGCGTGCCTATAAACAAACTAGAAAAGGCAGGATGCTAAGACCAGAGTTCTGTCCTGAGAGAAGAAGCAGTGAATGAAACAGCGAAGTGTCCTGCAGCCCTTCATAACTAAGTTTTACTTTTAAGGTAAAACCAACTGTGAGTTTAAAAACACTTTTAAATAGCTAAAAAGTGTGTTAACCTTACAAAATCGACGAATGTTTAGCCAACTGTAGCACATGTTCTCGAGAAATGTGTTATTTATCCAGTGAACACATGGGGGCCAGGCTCCTGGGTATGTGGCTTCTCTTGCAACAACACTGCAGTCCCCTAGAAACCAAAAGCCCAGCCTAGAAATCACCAGGCAAGTCCAATTGTTTCAAAAGAATCCTTTAAAAGACTAATTATGTTGGTGGGGCAGGGTCAGGAATATGAATATGAATTCTCCATAAATTCCTCAGGTAAGTAGAAGGTTGGGGAAACCCTGGTCCAAAGGAGAGTACAGAGTTCTGGGAATTAGCACCACTGGCCACACACACACACACACACACACACACACACACTCACTCAACCTCATTCCAGTCATCTCCTGTACCTTGTAGTTTCTGGCTTCTTCAATTGGGGTGTTTTTTTGTTTTTGTTTTTGGGGGTTTTGTTTGTTTGGTTGGTTGGTTGGTGTTTTGAGACAGGGTCTCACTATGTAGTTGAGACTGACCTGGAACTCACTGTGTAGCCCAGGCTGGTCTCGAACTCACAGCGATCCTCCTGCCTCAGCCTCCCGAGCGCTGGGATTACAGGCGTGTGCCACCATGCCCGGACAATTGGGGTATTTTGCAGGTATCACAAAGCTGTAAGTGAAATAACTGATTTACTTTAAAAGAAAAACAGCAACATATCTTTGCTTTTAAAAAAAAAATTCAATGTTTTGTTTTGGTTTGGTTGGGTATTGCTGGGGATTAAACCTCATGTATGCTAGGCAAGTGCTCTATCATTGAGCTACATCCCTAGCCCTTAAGAATTAATTTTGACAGGGCCAGGGATTTAGCTCAGTGGTTCTGCCCTCTGCCTCACAAGTGCAAGGTCCAGAGTTTGCTCCCCAATAAACAAAAAAGAATTAATTTTGACACCAAAATACCTCAATATTCATTTTAACTAGCCTGGACATACATATTATTCTCAAATGGTCTGGATCAGCAGCAGACTCCATGGCATAAAAACCTCAACAGTACTGGTGAGGATAATCAAACCAATGGCCAATAAAGAGGCCAAAATTAGAAATACTGATAAAATTAGAAAATACCATAAGAAGGAATTGGGGGTGTAGGGAGTCAAGATATGTTCTTTTTTCCCTGTACTTTATGCCCTCCACTGGTTCTTCAGTTTCTGGGGAATTGAACCCTTAAGTTACAAGGTCAAAAGACTATAGAATATTTTCTAAGAATTAGATCACATAATGAAAATAAGAAAAATTGCTGTTCTAATTTTGGGGGTTATTGAAACTCTCTCTCTCTCTCTCTCTCTCTCTCTCTGTATGTCTCTCTGTCTCTCTTGTTTCAGTCTCTTGCTCTTTCTCTCCCTCTCCTCTTTTCTCCTTTTCCCTCCCTCTCTCTTTCCTCTCTCCTCTTCACTTCACCACACACAGAAATCCCTTTTCAAAGGGGCTTTTTTCCAACTCAGTGAAGTAAAGTCTTTGCCCCTTTGTGGGAAAGGCTCATTAACATTCCCACAGCAGCATCTCTTCAAGGATTCTACTTTTGTAACTCTGTGGGGAGGTCAAGAGGCCACAGAGGAGAGGTAAAAGGGAAAAAAAATGGTAAACGGGGGAGGGCGGAAGAAAGGAGATGCGGGGAAAGAGCCCTTCCTCTCACAATAAGACTAACAAGAAGGAGGGAGGAAACATAGGAAAAGATGAAGACGGCCATGTCTCGGGAAAGTGACGTGGGACCCCCAGGTCTGTGCCTTGGAGATTTCATGGACTCCTGAGAAAAGGAGAAAGCTGTGTTTCTTCCCTCCTTTATTTTTCCTCACAAAGCATATAAATGATGGAAACAGTGGGATGAGAGGCTAACAGAGTCCAGTCTATTACACTGAGGAATTAGAAGCTTTCCTGGCTTCAATGTCTCCATTTTTCTTAAAACAGCCTAGTAATAATGGCTTTTGTCTACACAGAAAAATTAACCCAACTAATTAGACGATGTCAGAAATAAGAATTCCAAGGGTGGAGAGTGAGGGAGCCATCCAGGGTCCTGACACAAGGATCTGGAAAAAATAATGAATATTCTGTGAACAGATAGCAGAAGCAGAGAACAGAATGCTTCCCAAATCTCTTCAGAAGTAGGTACCTGCAGGACTGAGTGTAGCTCAGAGGTGGAGCATTTGCCTACCCAACATGAAGCGCTGGGTTCAATCCTCACTGAAGAAAAAAATAGTGGGAAACCTGCATCTGTTGTCTTCCTCTCCTTTTCTCGGTATTTGCCAAAGTATTCTGGACTTGCTGAAGAGAAGAAATGCAGAAACCTTTCAATATGCCCCCCACACCGTGAGCTTTGTTTTGCTTTTATTTTTCTCTGAAGACAGAGATTTACATCACTAAACGAAAAGAGGAAAAAATAACTCCCACTTTTCCAACTGATTATGTTTCAGGTGCTTTCACTTCTGCCTGCAAAGTAGAGGCACAGAAAGTTAGAAGAAGGAGACCCGGGCATTATAGCTAAAAGAAAGGACACGTCTGGCATCGTCTGTGCCCAGTAGCTCAGTGTTACTCTAATTCAGGTAAGAACAGCACAGTCAGAACTTAAAAGGGCCGGGGATTTAGCTCAGTGTTTCCGCTGCCTGCCAAGGTCCCAAGTTCAATCCCCAGTATTAAAAAAAAAAAAAAAACAGGAAGTTAAAAAACAATTTGATTCCTTGCACCTCAACAAAGAAAACAAAAAGATTAAAAAAACTAAAACTGTAAATGAGGACCAAAATATATAATACATACTGTGAAATAGGAAGAAAAAGTCCAAAGGGGAAGGGAAAGGGTGGATAGGGGAAAAGAAGCAAAAGAAAAAAAACATGAAAAAGGAAAAAACAGAAATAAAGTCTTTGTAAATAGGGAGGTGTGGAGGGGTTGGAGGGCGGGCAGGGGAATGAGGAGAAAATGAGAACCAAAATATATCAAGTATAGGTACAAATTCCCAGTGATGAATGTCATCATATAATAAAATTAAAATGTACCAATAAATTTAATGAATTAAAAAAAAAAGAAGCTGCAGAACAATAAAATGACACTGAATGTACAGGCTGAGCTAGAGATACCTGGCTATTTGTCGAATGACATTTGCAGAGACAGAGCAAGTTTGCTTGTGTGTTTTGGTACTGGGGAATGAATCCAAGGCCTCTGGCTGCTGGTGAGAACCCTATCCCTGAGCTACATATTCAGCCCACCGAAGATGGAGGAATGCTTAGAGGTCCAACTTCATACCCACAAGAAAATCCTTTGCACAGAATCTTTGACAATTATTCAACCTCTGTGTGAACATATTGAAGAGAGAGATCACAAATCACTGTAGCCCTTCACACTATTAGAAAGCTCCTTATATTCAGCTAAAAGTCCCTCCTGTTAGGCTTTTCCCTGGGATACAAGGAACTTATCAGCCGCATTCTCAGGAGCATCTGTTTATCTATAGGAATTGGACAGGACTGGGAGAAACGTAAAGCCACTGCTCCTGTTGTTGTAAATGAAATCATTAAGATCAATCATTTTTTTGTTTGTTTGGGTTTTGGTTTTTGCAGTACTGGGGACTGAACTAAAGTTCTTCACCCTGAGGTACATCCTTGACCTTTTGTTTTGTTTTGTTTTTTTATTTTGAGACAGGCTTGCCTAGAACTTGGGATCCTCCTGCTTCAGCCTCTCAGAGAGCTGGGATCACAGGCTTGCACCACCATACCGAGCCCCCCCCCCACCTTATGCTGGCGTATTGTTTTCACGATGGCCTGTTGTATCTTTACCAGCAGAGGATGCACCTGTGTTCTTCTCTATCTCTGTTATAACATAGCTATATAACCTTGGATAGGTTACCTAACCTCATTGGGCTTTTTGATTTCTCCATAAAGGGATCCCCTACAAATAGGCAGGGTAGACCTGCTGTGCTAAACTCAAAGCTGTAATATTAAACATATATGTTACATAAATAAAAATATTATATAAACCATCAAAAACTGTGCAAACACTTACTATTTTACTGCTTATCTATCTTTACTCAATCTTTCTGCCAATCTTTCATTTTTGACTGAAAAGCGCTGACTTGTTGCCTCCTAACTAGGACACACCAGAAAATCTTAGTTGAAATCCCAAAACATCCACATTGTCAAACAAGCGGGGGCCAAGGATTAGGAGTGAACCAAAAGCACTGTGAAGCTGTTGGAAGAAGTGTTAGAAAGACAAGTAAGGGAGTCTCTGAACAGACAGCACAGGGAGAGGCCGGAGTCCCGGCAGGGAGGAGAGGGTTAAATCCTTCCCTCAGGAGTACAAAAGAAAAGAGTGTGCGGAAAGATTAGGATTTTTGCTTTTACAATGGGAGCTGCAGAAGCGTAGGGAAGAAGCTGAAGAAAAAAAGGGGGCGTCTCCCCTTTAAAGACTTGCAGAGATTGAGAAAGAGAGAGTCAGGATCAGAGAATCAGAAAGAGCCCGTCTGTCTCTGGGAAAGGAGAGCATCTCTGCTCACTGTGACTTGCACTTGGAGGAGAGGCATCGCTGGCTTCAGACCCAGGGGTAGATCGGACCAGGTCACTCCGGTGGAGCCCCTCCCTCTCCCACCTCGCCACCCGGGAATGTCTCGGCGAAAGCAGCGGAAACCGCAACAACTAATCTCGGACTGCGAAGGTCCCAGCGCGTCTGAGAACGGTGGGTGCCGGGACGGGTGAGGGGTCCGGGAGTCCCAGCCCGTGTGGGTCAGGCCGGGGCAAGGGGAGGGCAGCCGGGCCACTGCGAAACCGGGCGGGGGAGCTCAGTCCCCGCGGGTGCGAAGGAGTCCACACGATGGGAGTCGGGTGACTGCGCTGGGAAAGGTCCCCCTGGGCTTTCCTCGGGATTCGTTCTGTTTGTGTTTTCCTTGTTTTTCTCTGGATGAAATGGAGTTTTCAAACTGGCGTCGCATCCCCAACCCAAGAGTTTTCTCTTCAGGTCCCCCTTTGCTCACTGGTCTTTGTGCCGTTGCTAAGTAACGTCCTCAGACCTGAAGACCAGTCTCTTAGGGGTGGTGCCCCCCCCTTTCTGGAGAGTTGGGTTGCAAGAGAATGAATTGGATAAACGCGAAGGTTCCCCTGAGGGAGAAGAGAAAAAAGTTTCTCATTGTTGGGCTGAGCTGAGAGCAGATCAGAGCTCCCCAAGGGAGAGAGCTAATGTCGGTCAGAACCCAGCCTGTTCTGGGTGTGTATCCCTATCCTCCGGAGGGGAGGCTGGAGGACAGGTCCGTGAGAGGAGTTCAGGTTTGTTTCAAGGGAGGTCAAGCTTAAAAAAAAAAAAAAAAAGTGCAAGCTAACATAACTGTTAATACATGTGTATCATCTTACAGGGGTATTACTATGTATGTTTTTTAAGCAACAGACTTCCTTTATAAGAGGGAAAATTGTTTGCCCTCTTGTAACACTCCAGTAAGTAAGTGAAGGGCAGATAGCTAATAGAGCCATGAGGATACTAGGAAGGGACATAGTCTAAAGCCTCAGAGACAGGGAGAGGCAGTGTCAGAACTGGAACTTAGGTCTCCAGGTGCTCAGGATTGGTGCTGCTCATTCTGGTAAATCTGGGTTTTGCAAACTTGTTTGATTATGAATAGATGCAAACGAGGGTCTAGGAATCAATATCTTCTGCAAGTGCCCGGTACTTCTCAGTATCAAGCAAGCTTAGGACATGCTTGTCAGTGGTATGGCTACCTGTGTGCACTGGGAAAGTCTAGAGACCTGGCTCAGGGAGCAACTATTTACTCAGAAAACAGTTGATATGCACAATACTGCAGCATCAGGTTAAGCACAAATGGTCAGACTTCCAGCCAAATCCTGACTCCACCACATTGCCTCTCCGCTTCTGTTTCCTGATCCGTAGTAGCTCATTAGGGTGTGAGAACTGAAATGAGTTAATACGTGTAAGGCCTCAGGGAAAATACCCAGCATAAATGAGTGCTTAACACATGCAGTGAAGTAAGCAACTGCTTTGTGCATGAGAGTAGGGCTCACACTGTCCTATGTGAATGCAGCAGCACTGACCGTACGGGCTGAAATAAAATCAAAGCTCAGGAACCTCGTGGCAAATTTCACCATTTCTTTATGAAACGTGTGCCATGAAAACCTCTAGGACAGTGTATATGTAGTGATTGAAACTAATCATAAACTTGCATTTCTAACCATTGAGGGGGGGGGCACGGGGATGACTTCAGGTCAAATCAGGACTCCAAGTGCAACAAACAACCTAACAGACACGTTAAGTTTGGAATAGGACATATCTTCCCCAGCCACTGCTGTGTGCTGTAATCCCACTGTGGCCATATTTAGAGGTTCTGTGGTGGCAGCATCCTTCCCTCCAGAGACACATTAACCCTCCTTAATGCTGCTATAGGCCGGATGTTTCCTCCAGCGCACGCTACAGGAGACTTCCCCTACCGCAGCAGAGCTGCCTGGGTCCTGCTCCCCTGCTGGCTCAATTGTGGAACTATGCTGAACACCCACCTCCAGTCCCAAAAGGCCTCTTCTCTCCTTCCTTCCATCTGCTCAGCTGGGACCCAGCTGAGGCAATATTTTCTGAGAGGCAGTCAGAAGGTATCTCTAGGGCCAGGGATTTAGCTCGGTGGTTCCACCGCCTGCCTCGCAAGCGCAAGGACCAGAGTTCTATCCCTGGTACCGAAAAACAACAAAAGGTTTCTCTGCCCCCATGGACTTTCAAGCCCTCTGAGATATAGCTCCCTCCTGGGGATATGGACACTTGGGAGGGGGTAGAGACACAAGGGAGTGCTACTACAAAGCTGTTGCCATAGAAACAATAAAGGCTTCAATTCAGCAGAAGCAACAAATGTCAGATGAAATTTTGCCCGTGAGTTACGAAGGAGGAGAAAAATAAATACAAGGAGCCAGAAAGTACCAGTAAACCTCTGTTAAGATCTACCTTGAGGGCTGGGGATTTAGCTCAGTGGTTCCGCCACCTGCTTTACAAGCACAAGGACCTGAGTTCAATCCCCAGTACCAAAAAACAAAAACAAAAAAACAAAAGATCTGCCCTGAGAAGGTCTAAGGGGTTTCTCATGAGAATTCTGCTGAAAGTGGGCAGGGGATTTGGCTCAGTGGTTTCACCGCCTGCCTCACAAGTGCAAGAGCCCGAGTTCGATACCTGGTACCAAAAATAAATAAATCCTCTGAAAGAAAGATTCGACCTTAGTTGCTTTCACGACCTGAAGTTTCACTGAGTCTCATCTGCAATTTGCGGTGGCTATCTAGAACTTCTTCCTGCTCTTATAAGTTTACAAATATATAAATTGCTCCCTCCCTTTTATAGACAAGTTCTATGTCGGGGATGGGGGTGTGGCTCCATGGCAGAATGCTCACTTAGTGTGCCTGAGGCCCTGGGTTATGCTTTACAAAGAATCCTTGAGTTACACGATCAGCTTCTGATTTTTATCCTACTATAAGCATGGCCCCAAATTAGGCAGGAAGGGGCTCGGAGTGTAGCTCAGTGGTGCAGCACTTGCTTAGCCTGCAAGAGGCCCTGGGTTCAATTCTCAGCACAGAAAAAGGGAAGGGCAGTGGGAGTGCTCATTTGGGGCCTTTTTGTACACCTTTGATATTGTAGTCACTATCGTAAGCATCAGCACACATTTATTCAGTAGACTAGAATGCCACTAATGTTAGTTTTTGGCCATATTTTAAGCAGTGTTCACCATATATGCAAAGCAAATGCTGAGTTTTTGTTGCTTTTTTTTTTTTTTTTTTTTTTTTTTTTTTTTTTG